CTGCTTTCCTCTTTTACATCACCTACACACACAAGTCCGGTGAGAGAGAACAAAGCCAATAGTTGAGGAAGTCCAGTTAGTAAGGCTGTCAAGGCTAATTTCTTCACTTAAACATCGGATGAAGTGATTAGTTTCTCTTTAATACAGATGATGCCAATGTATTTTTCGATAAATCCGCTATGTTAGCAATAATAACGTTACCTGCTTGAGGGAAATGGTTGCCAGGTTTTCATAACAAAACCCGCCCAATTGCTACTCAAAACTTACCGCGTTTCGAGGGGTCCCCCGGTAAAAATCGAGTTCTGGGGGCTAAAATACACGTTACTGGGGTCGCTTCAACCAGCTGACATGAAAAACAACCCGCAGCAACAGTGATAAAGTAGCCCAATTCCACGGGAAAACCTCGGACTTGGCAACACTGTGACGGATACAAGTCTCCCTGCTGCACTAATAGTAGTAAGCCATTCCTCTGTATACATCATAGGCGCGGGAAGTGGGGGTGCTGCAGCATATTTTTTCCCCCCTGTTTTTTTTCTGTGGGCAACTGTTTAACTGTTGGGAATAAAAAAAAATCGTTGGCAAAGGCTATTACACTAACTCCATCCACCAACGTGTGATTGGGCTAGTCAACAAGACAAAAGACGATCACCTGTCGTCAGCTCCGGTGGCGCAGATGGTAAAACGCGCATCATCCACCTTTTGACGCGATCAACCTGGGTCCGAATCTGCCCTTTGGTGAACTTTTTTTCTCCCTTTTCAAATTTCAAATCACAGCAGAAAAGCATTTATTTTTTAATAAAAATGAAGGAAATAATCAAAAAGTTGAAAAAGTATCGGGTAGGGTTAGGGTAGGTGTAGGGAGGGCTTTTGTCCCAATAAGGTGGCATCCATTTAATAATTTGAATTAAAATTAAAATTTACACAATAAGTTATTATTGCATACTGTTTTATAATGTATTACAATGCTGAGGTGCAGATAATTGCCACTATTGGCAATAAGTAATTAGCAGAATATCCTGCTATTTTAATATAGTATAAATAGCTATTTGCACTTAGTGTAAATAGCATATCACAAAACAAATACTGCTATTTTCATTTGTAAATAGCATCTATTGCTAAGAAAATATGCGATATTTTCTTGTGTCCTTGTGTCTTGTGCCTTGTGTCCCCTTCAAATATTGCTCTTGAGAAATTTTATGTTTATTGTCCCCCCCACTGTTAGACGAAATTTACGCCCCCGGGGCGGGCCTGTGCCCGTTTGGCCCATCAGCTGTCTACGCCCCTGTCTCTAACTTATTGGGAACTTATTCACCATTTATCATCTGTAATACCATTGTGTAACCACTAGATGGCTGTTTAGCTCTATATATAAACATATAAACATGGCTGTGTGTTTCCTAGTGGCTGGGAACGTTGGATTTCCACATAATTAGTTACTTGAATTTGGATATATATTTAGACATCATTAAAGACATATTCTTATCAAAGTAGATTTTTTTTAATGTTGATTTGAAGTGTAAGTTTTTGCGTTAGTCAAATCTGGACACAAAGAAAGCATTTTGTTGCTCATACTTGCTTCATATAATAGCTTGATCAGTCACATGCAAGTAATCAGAATCAATACCGAAATTTCAAAATATACAATTGAGTGTTAAATACCGTAAACAGAGACTTAGTCTGAAAAACTGTGGCCTTAGGGGCCGTTCACATATCGCGTCTTTTGCGCGCTCAAGTTCGTTATTTCAAATGTAGACGTGCGGCAGGCGCGCTCATAATGGAAGCGATGCGGTCGCGACGTGCTCATTTTTTCCAGGTGCGACCACGCCGCATCGAGATAAACACATTTCAACTTTTCAGAATGACACCTCTGGAGCGCAAGCGCCCGAACGCGTTGGGAAAAAGCAGAAAGCGGCGCGCCTAGCGTTTTCCACGCGTTTTAGGCACGACATGTGAATGGCCCCTTACTCTGTTAAGAACGCAAGCTCCGCCCCTAACTTCCGGTTCTGTGGCTGCGGTTCTGAAACTGTGGTTCTAAAATTGCTGGTGCTGCGGGTCTGCAGCTGGATACTATTGGGTCGTGGGTCTTTCATGCGGAGAACTCTGCTAATATTTTCTGCATAATGATGCATTTAAAAGTTAACGACCAAATGGATGTTTACAATTGCTGTTGCAGATGAAATATAACACGGATAACAATAAATAAATATCTTTTACCAGGTTAAATGTTGATTATCAGTACCTCAAACCCCTTTTTGTAAACCTCTCTACCTAACCGTCGATCGCGCGCATCCGCCACGTTTGTAGATTTCTAACGCGTTTTATTCGTGTTTGTAGTTCTGGACCGAATCCTTAGCCAAGAGTGTGCACGGAGCCACAACGTTTGTAGATTTCTAACGCGTTTTATTCGTGTTTGTAGTTCTGGACCGAATCCTTCGCCAAGAGTGTGCACGGATCCACACTTCAAAAATCGACCTGAAATAGTAGACCATCCAGGGACTTTTGGCATACTCTTTTCAACATACTATGCTTTGGGACACACTTATTCTAATCTCACATACTATTTAGGATGGATAGTATGAACATTGAGACGCAGGGTCAGTGAGTGAGAGAATCGTGCCAAAATGGTAAGCGCAGAGAAAAGAAAGACGGAGCTGAACATATCGGTTTATTTCGGGAACTTTTTGCCCCACATGTACAACAAGTCATTTAGACATTTGCAACAGTTTGTTTTTTACACATACAGATTGGCCGAGAGAAAAAAATCGCCTGCAAGCTCGTACGACAGCAAAAATCGCACCTTGTACTGTAAGCGCAGAGAAAAGATAGATGGAGCTGTACATATCGGTTTATTTCGGGAACTTTTTGCCCCACATGTACAACAAGTCATTTATACATTTGCAACAGTTTGATTTTTTTACACATACAGATTGGTTCTATGCAGTCAGTCCGTTTTGCAGTTCTTTAAACTGTTGCTTGCAGTACTTTTGACCGTATTTTAGCGAAAACAACGTGGAAAAATGGAAGTCAGAAGAATGCAGATCATATTTATTTTGTGTTAGCATGAAGCTGCAGTTTCACAATACATAAAATACACTTACGAGTAACAGTAAAATGCTGCAAATCATTTATACTTGTGCTTGAAATGCGATTTACACCATTTCAAAGCTTCTCTTGCGCATGCAAATTTAATTTACACTTACAGTCTTATGTATACTTCCACAACTCTTACCCTGCGTATGCAAATCTTTTAGGCATTATTTTACCTTCATAATATATTACTTCTATATAGATGTTATATTACGTTGCTTAAGACTAAGGTAGTGGCAAACATTTCAATATGGTACATGGTACTCTTACATTAAAAGTTAGGCCTATCAGGAGCATTTTAAAATAAAACCTAGCCTTTCACACAGACGGCAGACTCCCACTCCTTTTCTTTTGCCTTTATATCTTTATAATACTTATATACTGTATATATATATATATATATATATATATATATATAGTTTGTGAGGGCAAGACTGCCTTAAAAATAAATAGAGGTAAACGGGGGAGCTGCGGGTTTTTCTGGATAAAAACACGATAGCGTTTACATTTATCAACCGATTTCAGAGGTTTGTGATCTACATTGAGTTAAAAATATTTAGCCTCCAGTTATTTAGTTAGGTTTGGAAAATTATAAATTTTCGTAAGAAATTGTGAAAACTCACACTTGTCTCACTTGTTGATTTGATTGATTTTTTCGGTTTACAATTCTAATGTTAATGTAGTATAACTGTGACATATACATGTAATGTAATTTGAATGTACATTAAATTAAATTAAGTTGTTTCATTGCTTTCTTTGTCTTCAACCCCAACATTTTAGCTTTTCTTGTGCTTCAGGTCAGAACACAGCTCATTCCCTTTGAAATACTTGAAGAAAATCGAAATAATACATCTTTCAACACTAATAATTTACCATCATTGAGAAAATTGAATAAAACCAGCGAATACAAATCAAAAAGTGACACTCTGGTAGTCTTGCTTTTTATTTTGATAGCACTCTATACAGATAAACTCCACAACAAACAATAACAAATGCAACTCACAGTAAAAATATAGTAAAAGTGATATGTAATATTAAAAAGTATATGTAGTACAAGTTGTAGTAAAGTGAATAATATAAAAAGCGAGTACAGTAGTATAAAATAGATTTATAATAGCACAAATTATATATATAATACCATAATAAATAAATGATAACAATAGATGAATAATAGCAAGTATAATATGCAATATCAAGGGTGGAATAATACAGAATAGACAATAATGAAGAATAAATTAATAGTAAATTATAAAGTAAAATAAATAATCATGAAATGTAGTTTCATAACAGTATTGTGTAATAATTATTAAACAAAGTAAGGGGGGGAGCATCAAACAAAAAAGACTTGAGGCTGTAAAGGTGCTTCAGCAAAATATTTAGTTAAGGGTATGAATACTTATGCAATGTACTTATTTCAGTTTTTTTATTTTTAATAAATTTACTTTGTGACAATTCTGTTTTTGCTTTGTCAGTATGGTGTATGGAGTGTAGATTGATGTGGAAAAAAAGTAATTTAAAGCAGTTTAACATAAGGCAGCAACATTACAAAATGTGAAAAAAACGAATGGGGTATGAATACTTTCGCAAGGCATACATATATACATATATACATATACACCAAGCATCATTCTCTCTCAACCCTTATTGTTAGTTCTTGTGAATTTCAAACACCACAATATGACAATACACATATACGTTTATTGTCATTTAGAAGATGCAAATGAAGCACACACTGTAAAATGGAGCATACCATAACAAAGATCCAAAGTTGCCCAGAAAAGAAAACACAGTCTAACAACATGCATGCATGGATCCACAAAAACACACTACCTTTCTTTCCCACAATTATCCTTACTATGCCAAACAAATTCACATATCTAACAAGAGTACAAAGCCTAAATAGCACAGTATTTAAACATTTAATTAAATTTAAATATGGTCACCTTTAGTGATCATCTTACAATTCATATTGTGATGACATTGTTATCTACACTCATTTCATGGAAAAATCCTAGACATTATCCTTATAAGCATTATAGATTAATTAATTGAAAACAAAAATCACGGCGGTGTCAGCAGTGATAAATTCATTGCACTTTACATTACCAAACTGTACTTTGAATTTAATTTCAGATAAAGAAAATCAATCAACTAAAAATGGAGTAGAAATGACTGAAATTATTCTGACAAATTAAATGGATGGAGTCAAATGTGTTGTTATAAGATAATAATGAAAACATTTTTTACATTGTAGAAGTTAAATGCACATCTAAACCTGTGAATGTCACTGGTGTGATCTGACATGTGCGTACAGAGACTGGTCCTGACTGATCTTTGCTTTGGCTCTTCTAGTGTTCAGAGGTTTCTGACCAAAACTAATGGCTGCATAATTCAGGGTGTCTTCATTCTAATATTAAGAGAGAAAAATGACACGATATGGCATAATATAGACCAAAAGTCCTAACGTTTTTATATTTGAAACTTTATTATTATTATTTTTTTAAAGTACTAATAACTAATATCAAATTGATAAAAACAGATTACTGTAAATGTAGTCAATAGTCCTTTCTACATTTAAGATCTCAAACAGAAGAAAATTATGAACTTACTTGACTCTCTTGAGATGTAGGCACTTTGGAAAAATAAGAAACACTCTTGTCATTATAAATGGCCATCATATGTAATTTTTACTCTGTCAATTTTGCATTAATATAATAAATTATTTTATTCAAAAAGTCTTACCTTTATTCTGACCCCTGCATAGTTTTATTCCCAGAAAAACAACAAGGGCCAAAAATATGATGTTTAAAATTCCAAGAGCAAGAAGAGCTGGATTCACATCAACACTCTCTAAAACAAAGTCAAAAATGAATTTTAATTTTTTAGATAACTTTTTTTTTTCATTTATTAGATCAGTTCATTACAACGTACTCCGCTATATGAATCAAATGCTTTTCCAGAGAGGAAAGATCAAACCAATTTAAACCAAACATTTCACCTTCATCTTACCTCTAAAATTTAGTTCAGTTCCTTTTCCAAACAGTATCTCTCCACACGCGGCCACAGCACAGTAGTAAATCCCAGCATCAGAGTGACTGATGTTGCTCTTGAAGAGATTGTAGACACAGCTCTGTGTTTGAGACTCAGTGCTGTTCTCACACTGACCATTTCTCTCTCCTTTGGTGTAAAGGACTCCTTGAGATTCTCCCAAGCTTTGCCTGAACCAGTAGACACTGTGTTCTCCTGCACAGCTCTCAGTGAAGATGCTGCACTGCAAACTCACAGAATCCCCTGGATGAAGCGTGTCTATCGAAGACTGCTGAAGAGTTATGTGTCTGTCCACAGCTGCATCTTGAAAGGTGACATAAGTGGGAAAGAAATGGTAAGGACAAAAAAATCAGTTACCTCAAACCAAACCAATATCAAACAAAGCTAAAATAAGCAGAAAAACACACCTTTGACAAGTAATCTGGTTCCTGCACCCATTCCAACGGTGTAATATGATGAGACTACACAGTAATATGTTGCTGAGTCTGAAGGTTTTGTCTTTAAAATGGTCAGATTAAAATGATCATCTCCTTTAATAACATTAAACCGATTTGTTTTATCAAAATCCTCATTCCAACTGGGTTGTTGATTTAAATATAAAGATACAATTTGTACGCTTTTTCTATCAGCCGTGTGTTTAAACCACGCTGTTGTCGTTTGCAGAAGCTTTGAAAAGGTGCAAGTGAGGTTCACATTTTCTCCGACTTGACCTATTTTTACATTATCCTCCTGAACAACATCTGCATCAGAGGAGCAGACTGCAAAATGAAGAACACAACAGGTACCTTTAGAGTTGAAAGTGTTATGTAGTGTTAAATAAGTTGTAAATAAATAGAGTTGTTAAAATAAATTTTTACCTATTGTTGAGGAGAGTGAAACAATTAAGCAATATCTCATGATCAATCGTCTTCCAAAATGATCCTTGTGCTTTGAATTTCCCTGAAAAAGCGAATGATGAGCACACTATCAATCCATTAACACATGGTAAAGAATAATGGTAGATCAGACTAGACTGCGATCTTACCATGTGTCCATCGGCCTCTGCTCCAAACAACTGATGCATGTATGCACTTTCACCTTAACTTTTATGCTTTCACACCCCTTGCCACATCAAAATGTCTAGAAAAAAATTCTAACCCAACCATTTTTCCGTTGCTCCAAAAAACATTTCTCATTTATTAATACACACATTATAAATACTACTGTTTAGTTACCAGTTTATAGTTAATGGAAGCTGGCTTCTCTCAAAACGGTCTGATTAATATGTTGTTTCGTTGCTACTAAAAATGCATTGTGGTTTGACAGAGGAAAATAGCAGGAAACATGTTCCAAAGCATGTAACCTTTAAAGGGCCCCATATAAAAGTTCCTGTGTTTAGTTAGTAGAAGTGATGCTGAGCATCCAAGATATGAAACTTTTAAATACAGTTTGAATCAATGGGTTGGCAGATGGCAGGGCATGATCAAGTTTAACTAATCTGGATTGATGAATGCATGGTTTTGCACACTCTAAGAAATATCTATAAAAAGGAATAAAAAGGAAAAAAAAAAATTCCATATTGATTTTTCACAGGTGTTTTAACTGTATTTTAATTAAGGATTACATTGTATTGTGTTTAAGGGTAAGGAAATGTCCGCTTAACTGATAATGCCATGGCAAACTTAACTGATAATGCAGAAAATTACCAGTACCTTTTCTTTTTCTTTTCTTTTTTTTCTCTCTTACAGTTCATATTAGTTAATGTTAGAATGGTGCACAATGGATTTTTTGCAACCTCTCAACTAACTATGTAAGCTCATAGTGTAGGCCAAGAAATATGTATTTTGTCCATTTCCAAGGAATGTTCAAAGTAATAACATTACTCACATCAGGCAGACACAACAATTAGTGATACACTATTATTTAAATTCTTGCTAATATGCTTATAGCCTAATATGTTATGGCCTATAACCAATAAATGTCTGAAAAAAAAAGGAAAACGACAACAAAAACAACAAAAAAGTTTATTACAAGAATATATGAAAGATGAATAGAGTTGGTGTATGTGGTCTAAAACAGTTTATTACACATTTCATAGTAATTGTTTGAGTGTTGTACTTTCTCGATAAATGAATTTAACTCTAAAGTAGTGTTGCATGGTGACAAAAAGTCATTTAAATCTTAAATTACAAAATGTGAAAAAAATGAATGGGGTATGAATACTTTCGCAAGGCATACATATATACATATATACATATACACCAAGCATCATTCTCTCTCAACCCTTATTGTTAGTTCTTGTGAATTTCAAACACCACAATATGACAATACACATATACGTTTATTGTCATTTAGAAGATGCAAATGAAGCACACACTGTAAAATGGAGCATACCATAACAAAGATCCAAAGTTGCCCAGAAAAGAAAACACAGTCTAACAACATGCATGCATGGATCCACAAAAACACACTACCTTTCTTTCCCACAATTATCCTTACTATGCCAAACAAATTCACATATCTAACAAGAGTACAAAGCCTAAATAGCACAGTATTTAAACATTTAATTAAATTTAAATATGGTCACCTTTAGTGATCATCTTACAATTCATATTGTGATGACATTGTTATCTACACTCATTTCATGGAAAAATCCTAGACATTATCCTTATAAGCATTATAGATTAATTAATTGAAAACAAAAATCACGGCGGTGTCAGCAGTGATAAATTCATTGCACTTTACATTACCAAACTGTACTTTGAATTTAATTTCAGATAAAGAAAATCAATCAACTAAAAATGGAGTAGAAATGACTGAAATTATTCTGACAAATTAAATGGATGGAGTCAAATGTGTTGTTATAAGATAATAATGAAAACATTTTTTACATTGTAGAAGTTAAATGCACATCTAAACCTGTGAATGTCACTGGTGTGATCTGACATGTGCGTACAGAGACTGGTCCTGACTGATCTTTGCTTTGGCTCTTCTAGTGTTCAGAGGTTTCTGACCAAAACTAATGGCTGCATAATTCAGGGTGTCTTCATTCTAATATTAAGAGAGAAAAATGACACGATATGGCATAATATAGACCAAAAGTCCTAACGTTTTTATATTTGAAACTTTATTATTATTATTTTTTTAAAGTACTAATAACTAATATCAAATTGATAAAAACAGATTACTGTAAATGTAGTCAATAGTCCTTTCTACATTTAAGATCTCAAACAGAAGAAAATTATGAACTTACTTGACTCTCTTGAGATGTAGGCACTTTGGAAAAATAAGAAACACTCTTGTCATTATAAATGGCCATCATATGTAATTTTTACTCTGTCAATTTTGCATTAATATAATAAATTATTTTATTCAAAAAGTCTTACCTTTATTCTGACCCCTGCATAGTTTTATTCCCAGAAAAACAACAAGGGCCAAAAATATGATGTTTAAAATTCCAAGAGCAAGAAGAGCTGGATTCACATCAACACTCTCTAAAACAAAGTCAAAAATGAATTTTAATTTTTTAGATAACTTTTTTTTTTCATTTATTAGATCAGTTCATTACAACGTACTCCGCTATATGAATCAAATGCTTTTCCAGAGAGGAAAGATCAAACCAATTTAAACCAAACATTTCACCTTCATCTTACCTCTAAAATTTAGTTCAGTTCCTTTTCCAAACAGTATCTCTCCACACGCGGCCACAGCACAGTAGTAAATCCCAGCATCAGAGTGACTGATGTTGCTCTTGAAGAGATTGTAGACACAGCTCTGCGTTTGAGACTCAGTGCTGTTCTCACACTGACCATTTCTCTCTCCTTTGGTGTAAAGGACTCCTTGAGATTCTCCCAAGCTTTGCCTGAACCAGTAGACACTGTGTTCTCCTGCACAGCTCTCAGTGAAGATGCTGCACTGCAAACTCACAGAATCCCCTGGATGAAGCGTGTCTATCGAAGACTGCTGAAGAGTTATGTGTCTGTCCACAGCTGCATCTTGAAAGGTGACATAAGTGGGAAAGAAATGGTAAGGACAAAAAAATCAGTTACCTCAAACCAAACCAATATCAAACAAAGCTAAAATAAGCAGAAAAACACACCTTTGACAAGTAATCTGGTTCCTGCACCCATTCCAACGGTGTAATATGATGAGACTACACAGTAATATGTTGCTGAGTCTGAAGGTTTTGTCTTTAAAATGGTCAGATTAAAATGATCATCTCCTTTAATAACATTAAACCGATTTGTTTTATCAAAATCCTCATTCCAACTGGGTTGTTGATTTAAATATAAAGATACAATTTGTACGCTTTTTCTATCAGCCGTGTGTTTAAACCACGCTGTTGTCGTTTGCAGAAGCTTTGAAAAGGTGCAAGTGAGGTTCACATTTTCTCCGACTTGACCTATTTTTACATTATCCTCCTGAACAACATCTGCATCAGAGGAGCAGACTGCAAAATGAAGCACACAACAGGCACCTTTTAAGCTGAAAGTGTTATGTAGTGTTAAATAAGTTGTAAATAAATAGAGTTGTTAAAATAAATTTTTACCTATTGTTGAGGAGAGTGAAACAATTAAGCAATATCTCATGATCAATCGTCTTCCAAAATGATCCTTGTGCTTTGAATTTCCCTGAAAAAGCGAATGATGAGCACACTATCAATCCATTAACACATGGTAAAGAATAATGGTAGATAATAGATTAGACTAGACTGCGGTCTTACCATGTGTCCATCGGCCTCTGCTCCAAACAACTGATGCATGTATGCACTTTCACCTTAACTTTTATGCTTTCACACCCCTTGCCACATCAAAATGTCTAGAAAAAAATTCTAACCCAACCATTTTTCCGTTGCTCCAAAAAACATTTCTCATTTATTAATACACACATTATAAATACTACTGTTTAGTTACCAGTTTATAGTTAATGGAAGCTGGCTTCTCTCAAAACGGTCTGATTAATATGTTGTTTCGTTGCTACTAAAAATGCATTGTGGTTTGACAGAGGAAAATAGCAGGAAACATGTTCCAAAGCATGTAACCTTTAAAGGGCCCCATATAAAAGTTCCTGTGTTTAGTTAGTAGAAGTGATGCTGAGCATCCAAGATATGAAACTTTTAAATACAGTTTGAATCAATGGGTTGGCAGATGGCAGGGCATGATCAAGTTTAACTAATCTGGATTGATGAATGCATGGTTTTGCACACTCTAAGAAATATCTATAAAAAGGAATAAAAAGGAAAAAAAAAAATTCCATATTGATTTTTCACAGGTGTTTTAACTGTATTTTAATTAAGGATTACATTGTATTGTGTTTAAGGGTAAGGAAATGTCCGCTTAACTGATAATGCCATGGCAAACTTAACTGATAATGCAGAAAATTACCAGTACCTTTTCTTTTTCTTTTCTTTTTTTTCTCTCTTACAGTTCATATTAGTTAATGTTAGAATGGTGCACAATGGATTTTTTGCAACCTCTCAACTAACTATGTAAGCTCATAGTGTAGGCCAAGAAATATGTATTTTGTCCATTTCCAAGGAATGTTCAAAGTAATAACATTACTCACATCAGGCAGACACAACAATTAGTGATACACTATTATTTAAATTCTTGCTAATATGCTTATAGCCTAATATGTTATGGCCTATAACCAATAAATGTCTGAAAAAAAAAGGAAAACGACAACAAAAACAACAAAAAAGTTTATTACAAGAATATATGAAAGATGAATAGAGTTGGTGTATGTGGTCTAAAACAGTTTATTACACATTTCATAGTAATTGTTTGAGTGTTGTACTTTCTCGATAAATGAATTTAACTCTAAAGTAGTGTTGCATGGTGACAAAAAGTCATTTAAATCTTAAAATAGGCAGAAACAAATAGGGGTGGTTGGCTCGGTTGGGGCAGTTCAGGGTATCTGCAGGATTTTTAAAA